ACAATGCTTGCTATACCTGAGCCCATTGTTGCAGCCACTGTGTCAATCCATCTTATTGAGGGGGTAGGTGTTGTGCATGTATTGGGCTGAGAGCAAATCCAGGGAAGTGAGTCTATTTCTAGGCTTGATGGGTAACCCAGGGCCACAGTCTCGGTGGTTCCACCAGTCTCTATCCGACCAGTAATTCTGGTCATTTTTGTGTTTTTGTTCCACATTTTTCCTCCCACTCTCTCCAGGATCTGCAATTTTGATCCCTTTCCAAGCAGTTGGCATTGGTAGCCATGCATCATCTAGTTCTTCTGGTCTTGTGGTCATGAAGGCTGAGGTCCTCATAGTCCATCTTATCTTTGGACTAATTGTTTCCAGATGACTGATTTTCTTCACTCTTTTTTGCTCCAGAGGAGAGGACACCAGTAGTTGCATTAGGTGGCTGGTCGAAAGCTTTTAAGACCCTAGTTGCTACTCACCAAAGTAGGATGTAGAACAAGATTTGTATGTACTATGTTGTGCCAATTGAGCTTGGTGTCCCCCAAGACTATGGTCGCAAGTTGGCAGGCCGGGGTGATTCTCTCTCTCAGGGTGTTTGGTTGTCTCTGAGAGGTTCCTCCAACTCTGTCTTCTCTTGCTTCTGTAATGTATGTGGATAATTTCGTAGCACAAGTGCATATGTAAGATTATCTTCAGCCAGATCTATCCTTGGTCTTGAGTGTATTACTGTTCACTTACCCCCACTGATCTTCTCACCTGTCTGTGCATTTACCTGTAGCCTGGTGTTTGGTGCCAGTGGTAATGCACTATGGTACATGTAATAGTATTTGCCTCTGTTGTCTCTATCTTGTTTTGTGCATGTTTGTGTGTCTTTCCTTTCCCCAATGTCACCATGCTGATCACAGACTCTTTCCATACCACCCCTCCTCTCACCTAAAACAACGTGTGACCCCCAAGTAGTCTAAAGTGTTCCCTCCCCTCTCCTAGGTAATGTGCTCTTTGGTTTGAACCTTGCTGAGCACCTCAGGCAGTTCACCCATTCAGCTCTGAACTCAAGGTCTTTGTTTCTCATCAATCCCTGAGGCAGGAATAGAAATTGTCACTGACTTTTTTTTTTTTTTTGGCTAGGAAAAAAAAACCCCAAGCATTTATTTAAAACATAAAAAACTATAAAAAGCAAATAATCTTTTTGGTGAACAAATGCCTCCTCTGATGTTAAGAAACAACCCACCTTGGCTGATATTACTGTGCTGCCTTGAAAATTATATTTTACTGCAAAAATTGTAAATATGATGAAAAGCTTTTTACCAGGAGTGATGGCTGATTGGCGCCCTGTAGGGTCCTATTTTAGTTCTTTGGGAGAAAGATGTGGCAGTATGCTTCTGTCCATAAAGATTACAGCCTTGGAAACCCCATAGGGGCAGTTCTGTCCTACAGGGTTGCTATGAGCTGGAATTGCTTTGATGGGAATGGGTTTGGTTTTATTTTTGGTATTTTAGTCCATGGAGTCCCTGGGTGGCACAAATGTTAAGTGCTCAGCTGCTAACTGAAAGGTCAGATGATTGAGTTCACCCAGAGAGGCCTCAGAAGAAGGACTTGGCTACTACTTCCCAAAATGCAGGCACTGAAAAACCTGTGGGACACAATTATTTTTCTCTTTTTCTTGAGTTTTTATTGTGATTTGGGTAAAGTTTACAGAGCACATTCATTTTCCATTCAACAGTGCCTACCCATTTTGTTTCGTGACATTGATGATAATCCCCACAGTGTAACAGCACACTTCCCACTTCCTCCGTGTGGTTACCATTTCTCTTTGTCCTTCTTTCCTATCCATTCCTGCTTTCTGAAGCTTATCTCTGGGCAAATGCTGCCCTTTTGATCTCTTCTGGTTGCTTGTTCTAGGGAGTGCATACCTTCCTGGTATTATTGTTCACTACCATTTGGCTGAGAGTTGAGCCACGGGAGTGAGTTCAGTTCCAGTCTTGAAGGGTGATTCAGAGTCATAGTCTTCGGGGTTTCACCCCTCTCTATCAGACCACTAAACCTGGTCTTTTTTTTTTTTTTTAATTAACAAATTTGAGTTTTGTTCCATATTTTTCTCTCACTCTATCCACGATCTCCTAGTGTGATCCCTTTCAGAGTACTTGGCATTGGTAACTGGGCACCATCTAATTCTGGTCTCAGGGTCACAGAGGCTGAGGTTCACATGGTCAACTAGTCTCTCGAACCAGTTGTTACCATGCATCTTTGATTTTCTTCACTTTTCTTTGCTCTAGACTGGGAGAAACCAATAGTTGCATGTTAGATGGTTGCTTACAAGCTGTTAAGACCCCAGTTGCTACTCACCAAAGTAGGATGTAGAACATTGTCTTTGTGGACTCTGTTATGCCAACTGACCTTGATGTTAAGGAGCACAGTTCTACTCTGACACACATGGAGTTGCCATGGGTTAGAAATGACTTGGTGGCAAGTAGTGTTGGGTATTATAGTCCCTATTTGATAATGCTAAGGAAGAAACCTAGATGGACAAGCACCTTTCTGCTGTGGTACAGGGCAAATGGACCACAGTACAGGTGGCAGTCACTAGTGAAAGGACCAACACTCACGGAAGAGTAAATGTCGTGGAGGATAGGATGTTAATGTTAGTCAATGAGGAGTTGATTCCAACTCATGGTGACCCCATGTGTGCAGAGTAGAAGTGCTCCATAAGGTTTTCAAGGCTGTGACCATTCAGAAGCAGATTGCCAGGCCTGTTTTCCAGGGCACCTCTGGGCAGGTTTGAATTGACAACCTTTGACTAGTAGTCTAGTGCTTAACTGTTTGTGCCACCCAGGGACTCTTGGGAATGAGATAGCTGTCTTCAAGTGTCTCAGCTCCCTTGTCCTTCTTTTCCCAACCCCCAAATGGACCTGCAGCTTCCTTCATCCTTCCCACTTCCCTGCCAGCTAGAGGGATAGGAGTCCTCTCCCAGACCAGCATCACTGTTTCTTCTGTAGTTTGGTTTCATTCCCACTGGCCTCCTTCACCCCTCAGGCCATTCTATTTTTGTCTCCTGCATCTTCACTCACTTCCACTCTCTGGCTTTTGTGCTTCTCCATATCAAATACATACATTTCTCTCACCTTGAAAAAATGTCTATCACAGGTCACACACTGATAGTATGAAGCAGGCTATAGCCTCATTACCCCCCAGCAGGCACTAATGCAAAGGGTCAGGAAGTTTTTTCTGTGTGTACCTTTGAAAAACTTCCCACATAATTGTACTTATCCTCATAGCACTTTCATGCATTATTATATCTTGCCAATTTTGTAGGTTGGAGACTTGGAGACACAAAGAAGCCAAATGACATGCTTCAAATCAGAACCTAAGGAAGGGCAGTGACACATGTTGAACACCTACTGTGTTAGGTACAGTCATATGAACTCATTTAATTCTCATCACAAGCCTGAAATGTAGGTATTATCATCCTATTTTTATAGATGGTAACACTGAGATTCATAGAGGTTAAGGAACTTGCCCAAGGTCATGTTGCTAATGAGAGGCAGAGCTCGGAATCAAACATGGCTCCACAACCCATGCTCTTAATTATTGCAGCTTGTTGTCCTTTATTGAGGATTGATGGGGGTGCGCAGGTACTATTACTGAACTTTGAGTCAGTTAATTCAGACTACCATCTTCTCTTGCCTAGACAACTGCACTAGCTTCCAAACTAGTCTCTCTGATTCCAGCCTCCCCACTTAGAGTTCCTCCATACAGTAGCCAGAGTGATCTTTAAAATGCAAATAAGATCATGCCACTCTTTTGCTTAAAATTCTACAGTAGCTGCCCAATGGTTTTTAGAATAAAGTTTCAATTCCTTACCTTTGCACACAAGGACCTTTATGATAAGGTCCCTAACCTAAACATCTGCTACTTCCTCCCCTCCTTTCTTCTTTTCATCCATATGGTGCTACTAAGAGTTACTCTGCGGTATTATCGCCTGCCTGCCTGAGGTTGTCCCCTCTGTCTAGGATGCCTTCCCTTCATACTTCTTTGCCTGGCTTGTGTTCATTCTCTAAGATTCAGTTCAAGCATTAGATCCTTTAGAAAACCTTATCTGACTCCTCAATCTGATTAGGGATTGTCCTCTTCTATACAACTGTATCTCTCAATGAGTATCTCCTGTTGGTAGTTCTTGTTGCACTATATTGTATTACTGCTTATTGCTGTTTCCTACACTGGACCCTGGAGGTAGTGTCTGTATATTATTTATTTAACTTTGTACCCTAGCACTTAACAGAGGTTCATGCACATAGTGGGTGCCCACCAAATTGAAATGCCCTCAAAATGCTTACATGATGTGACAGTTACATTCTTTAGTGCTTTATGATCATACAAAATGGTGTATGGGCTAAATATTACAGCACCTATGCCAGTATCTTATAAGTGACCTATTGATCATGGCATACAGCAGTACAAGAGAACATCTTGGATTGATCTTTTTAAGAATTTGTTTTAATTAGCTAAGTTTCCTGCAACAGAAATATCATAAGTGGGGAGCGTTAAAGAACAGAAATTTATTTTCTCACAGCTGTGAAGGCTGAAAGTCCAAATTTGGGTCCTGGCTGTGTTGATTCCTTCCTTGTCCCCGAGTATTCTTTGTCTCTTGTAGATCCTCATGTGACATTTGTGTTAGGCTAATACAGACTTTCATCTGTGTCTAGTCTGCTCCACTCTTTCTCTAAGGCAGAAGTGATTATGTTTGTCACACCCTTCATTGATATGGCCTCATTACCAGAGCTAAGGAACCTCTATTTCCGAATAGGATTACATGCACTGGGGTTAGGATTCCAACACATATTTTTGAGGGATACAATTCATAGCACAAATCCATTGTACGCATTGGACTATTGAATACTATATGTATCATTCTGAATTAAAGTATAATTTAGCATTGGGTTGGAATCCAAAGCCAGGGCTAAAATCCAAAACTCATTGCTGTTGAATTGAATCTGATTCATGTTTCCTAACAGATCAGGAATGTGTTGGGCAAGTCCATTCAGGTGTCCTGGGTATTTCTAATAGTTGTTTACACAGCAGTAAATGGACACCGTATGGTAAATAGGTAAAAGAGAGAGCTCTGTGTTGGAGCAAGAGGGATCCCTCTTCTTTCCAAAGTGAGGCCCTCCACTTGAGTTCTCGCATTCATTCAGCTTTTGCCTCATAGTTACTCCCACTACTCCCTCCCCTTATTCCACTGCTTCTTCAGCATTGCCATCCCCACTCAATTCCATACTGTCCCTTAACACATCATGGCAGTTAGTATTAGTGCTTATTGAGCCTTTGCCAGGTACTGGACACTATGCTAAGAACATCACAAACATTATCTCTATTTCATCCTCTGCTAAGTACTTTAATCTCTTTTTTCTTTAAATTTTATTTACTTTGCTGTTGAGAATATGCACAGCAAAACATACACCAATTCAACAGTTTGTACATGTACCATTTGGTGACATGGATTATGTTCTTCAAGTTGTACATCCATTCTTACCTTCCTTTTCTGAGTTGTTCTGTCATTAACATAAACTCACTGCCCACTAAGGTTTCTATCTAATTTTTTTTAGTTGCTCTTGTCAATTTGATCTCATATAGATAGCTCTTAAAAGAGCATGATATTCAATGCAGACCTTTTTTTACTAATTAAGTTAGAATATTATTTTGTTTGGAGGCTACTTCAGGAGATATTTTTGGTTTAAAGTTTAAAGAATATCTCAGGGCAATCATTTCAAGGGTTCATCCACTTTCCATGGCTCCAGAAAAGTCTAGAGTCCTTGAGAATTTGAAATTCAGTTCTGCTTTTTCCTCCTTTAATCAGGATTCTTCTAGGAATCTTTGATCAAAATGTTTAGTAATGATAGACAGGCACCACCCAGTTGTTATGGTCTGATGGCAAAAAAGGCAGTTGTACATGGAGGCAATCAGCTACATCTTTCTCCTCTTCCTGTTCTAAGTGCTATGGTCCCATTAGGGTTTTAATTTTATTTTCTATTGGAGTTTTTTAATGAATGAAGGTGTTAGAAGTTGTTCCTTCATCTCCCTACTTCTGTAACACCCTATATTTTCATGCAGGTGAATTTCAGTGTGTTTCTTTAGTTGGCAGGTATTAAGAAAAGAGTGATTTTGTGGTTCCAAGCCTGAGATGCTTCCTCTCCAGGGTAGGTCTCTTCTCCAAACCAGTGCTGCTTCCCTGGTGTGCTAGGAAACTACCAGGTTGGTCATAGCCATTTTTTGGGCACAGCATATGAGGGAAATTCCCCCCGCCCCATAGTGACCAAGAAGTATAAGAGAGGACAGGAAAGGCAGAAGAAACTAAGCCAAGATCTTGGACCTCTAGATGGTTCTTGGCAAAAAACGGTAAGTCCCAGGGTGATGTCCTGTCCTTTTAACAAGGCTGATTCTGTAGGTGTACTGAAATTCTATATTCCTAATGTAAATAATGTGACCTCACAAGGATTCTTGAGGTAGGACACCTACAGTAATATACCTAGGACCAAGTTGAGAACACCTAAAGAGTGGTGGTGGAAATGCTTTAGGATTGCAGAAAATGTTCTCCTTCCCTTTAAGTGTATTTTTGGCAGAAAGGAGATATTAAATTGAGGCCTTGTCCCTAAAAAGATCCAGGGCAGGTATGTTGAGAGCCAGAGACCCATAGAGATATTAGATGCATTAGAAATGAATAGTCCCATAGCAGCCATCCAAGCACAAATACACCTCATTTTATGCAACAAATGTATTTTCTAAATCAAATCATATTTTAAAAACATAGAGAGGTGAGCTATTTAAAGGAACCCAACAGTGAAGCTGTTTGCAATAGAATTAATCACCTCTTGATAAGTCTGGATTTTTCTTATATTAGGTTTGCCCATCTGTTCTGCTTTGTTAAGTAGACAGTGCCAAAATGGGCTCTTCCCCAGACACTTATCTCTCTAGGATCATGAGAGTTAAGTCTTCTGAATGATAAGTAAAATGTCAGAGAAAATGATGACAGAAAGTACTTGCACATAGTAGGTGCTCAGTAATATGTAATATAATGAATGAAATACCTGGATTATTTTATTTAAGGCTGACTGATGTGATGCCACTCTGGAGGGTGAGCTATGAAGAGCAGCTCAAGGTAGGTGTCCAGCTGAAGTTATTACCACCCCACTCTAGCAAGGGAATGATGCTGAACTTATAGGAAGCACTGTTGTTGTTATGTGCCGTCGAGTTGGACCTGACTCATAGCGACCCCTCCTTGGGTTTCCGAGGCAGTATCACTATGGAAGTAGATTGCCCCATCTTCCTTCCAAGGAGTGGCTGGTGGGTTTGAACCATCAGCCTTCTGGTTAGCAGTCAAGTGCCATAGGCACTATGCTACCAGAGCTCCTATAGGAAGCACTACCAGATGTGTAATGACTCTTGAATTTTAACTTTAGACCACTTGTATCTTCCATACTGTAGACCTATATATTCATATGCCTGTTTCATTTCTTCCTTACTCTTTTGTTATTCTTCTAGCTCTGTGTGAGTGAGTAGCAGTGTTCTTGCTGTTTTATACAAAGGTAGCCACTAGCCATATGTGGCTATTTAAATTTATAATCAGTTATGCTATAATGCTTGTTTTGAAAATGGGAATTGGTTCCAATGGAGTGATACATTAGGGAACAATTTGAGTACCATGCACATTTTGCATTTGGTTAATGATTTCATCTGCAACACCACCAGTTCCTTCAGCTCACCAAGGGTGTTGTGGGCCACCCCCATCCACATCTGGTGTTAGAACTTTCCATCTGATTCCTTTTACCACTTCAAGATAACTCACAAACTACATCCCTTCTGATGCCCACTTCCACATGCACCACTGCTTTTATTAGGTTTCTTTTTGTGTGTGTGTTACTAATGTTTTTGGTTTACATATAATTTTATTTATTCTGTTGTTGAGAATATACACAACAAACACACACCAACTCAATAGTTTTTTTTTTTTATTTTAACTTTTTATTGTGATTTGGGCACAGTTTTACAAAGCAGATTCATTTTACATTCAATACTTCATATACATTTTGTTTCATGACATTGATTACTATCCCCATAATGTAACATCTCTCCTCCCACTTCCTCTCTGTGTTTACTCTTTCCCTGTGTCCTTCTTGCCTATGCATTCCTGCCTCTCTACCTTCTTCCCTGTGCAAATACTGCCCTTCTGATCTCCCATAGGTAATTGTTCTAAAGAGTGCATCCTTGCTGTCACTGTTCAGCTTGTAGGCCTCTCTATTGTTTGGCTGAGAGTTGAGCCATAGGAGTCAGTACAATTCTAGGCCCAAAAGTTGACTCGGGGCCATACTCTTGGGGTTTTTACCAGTTTCTGTCAGATCAGTAATCCTGGTCTTTTTTTGTTTTTGAATTTTGTTCCACATTTTTCTCCCATTTTATCCAGAATCTCCAATTCTGATCCCTTTCTGAGTGGTTGGTGTGATAGCCTGGTATCATCTATTCTTCTGGTCTGAGAGTTGGGTAGGCTGAGGTTCCCATGGTCCATTGGTCCTGTGAAGTAATTGTTTCTATATGTCTTTGATTTTCTTTACTCTTCTTTTCTTTAGACGAGGAGCTACCAATAGTTGTCTCTCAGATGGCTGCTCGCAAGCTTTTAAGATCCTACTCGCTACTTGCCAAAGTAAGAGGTAGAACAATATTTTTGTGTAGTACATTATCCAGTTGAACTTGACGTCCCCTGCAAACATGATCCTAAGCCTATGGGTCTAGCAATTCACTCCTTCAAGGTGCTTGGTTGTGGCTAAGAAGTTAACTTTGTCCTCTGTTAGTTTGATAATGTATATGGACATTTTTATAGCACATATAAATACATGTGTGGGAATATTATCTGCCAAACCTATGTATGGTCGTGGGCATATTCACATACACCTACCCATATCTGATCTTCTTGCCTGTCTGCCTATGTATCTACTTGTAGATACTGTTTGTTATTACTGATAGTGCAGTATTATGTAGTTGTATTTACCTTTGTGTCTGTACCTCTTATGCACCCCTCTGTGTCTTCCTTTTCATTAGTGATATTGTACTGGTCACATACTATTGTTATATTGCCTTTGCCTTCACCCAGATCAATACTTGTCTCTTACCTATCTAGCAGTTTTCCCTCCTCTCCCCTTCCATCCCTGGTAACCAACAAAGAAAGTTTCCTTCCATATGTAAACCTTTCCTTGACTTTTTACAAAATGGACTCATACAATATTTATCCTTCTGGGATTGACTTATTTCACTCACCATAGTGTCCTCCAAATTCATCCACATTATGAGGTG